ACTATTTGTTCTGTAAACCTTCACCTGAAGTACAATTAAAAAAAAAAAAGTTTCTTCCTAGTCCCACTACCCTATTTAAATATTTCTAGAAATATACTTGTGCCACACCAAAGTACATTTTCCTCTTTTAGGAAGAGATGACACATAATACATTTAATGAATTTAGTTTATTAACAGTCTGAGTTCACAAATGTAACACTTGACTGGGGGGAGGGAGAAAACAAGTGGAACACTTTATTCATCAGAAGGAAACCTTTAACAAAGAGGCACATTGCATAAATTCAGTCTTGACCCCTGAACCTCTGTTGTATGTCAGTTATGGTTTATTATCCATTGAGCTTGACAGAATCTGTTGGGTTGAGTTAGGGGAACTAAGGCAAAAGTAGGGTGTCAAGAGTGAACTGGTTCTACTTCCTTCCCCATCTTCCATGTTGTTCCTGAAGTTGTCATGCTTTTAAAGCTAATAATAATGAGTTAGCCAGTATCTGAGTTCCTACTATGTGCTAAGCACTGTATCCAGTGCTGTGTGATAAAAGATCAGTACACATACTATCTACCTTCAAATGCTTTAATGGAGGGAGGGGGAGATAAACTCACAAATTACATGAAGGAGAAATTACGCATGAGGCCCACAGAGAAGGCTGACTATGCAGCAAGCCAACTCTTTGTTTCATAATGGGAAAATGTACTTTTTCGGTGGAGTCTCCATTGGAAAATCCTTTTCACAACTGCATTTGCTCATTTCCAACAAGAGAGCAAGGTGGGTAAGAGGGAAAGTGAATCCATTGTTCTATCAACAGCAGTTAATATTTAGTGAGTGCCCACTATAGGCAAAATGCTATCCTAGTCCCTTTGAGGGGACACCCCAAAGATATTAAAGTCAAGCTCCTTGTCTTCGGAGAGCTTTCAGTCTATGACTGGTTAGGGAAACAGTATACTTACATGGGGGCAAGGCAGGAATTCTTCCAAAGCTGATGGTATTTTGGCACACACTAGGCCATGGGAAAGGAGCCCTGGTGGCACAATGGTTAAGAGCTTGGCTGCTAACCAAAAGGTCGGCAGTTCGAAACCATCAGTGGTTTCAAGGGAGAAAAGAGCTGGAAGTCTCCTCCCGTAAAGATTACAGCCTATGAAACCCTATGGGGCAATTCTCCTCTGCCCTATAGGGTCACTATGAGTCGAAATCAACTCGACGGCACACAACAACAAGAGGTCATAGGAAGAGAGAAAAAGGTTGCAGAAACAGACCAAAAGCCTCAAGGAAGAGAGGGTTCTGGTGACCCTCTGAGTGTCTCTCAGAGCTAGGTGACAGAGGTGGCCAAGGTAGGGCAGGCCTCAACCTAGCTCATTTAGTCCTGTAGGCAATCCTATCTCCTATTTGATATGGTTTAAATATGACCAGAATTAATACATTTAATATTTGCATTAGATTTTAAGATACATGAAACATGTGAAATAGAACCCCAAAACTCTGCAATAGCATGCTACTGCATGCCCTCCTATTTTAATTGTTAGATGCCAGGCATAGAATACTTACCAGTCCCATCGTGTGAGAACAGAGAGACAAATACATATCACAAACGGGCACGCTATTTGCAAACTTTTTCAACCTTTCTCATCTGAGTTTATTATGTTGCTGCTGTATTTTTAATTCCCTCTCTCCATTCCCTCCTTTCTTCCTTTCCTTGGCTAAATCGAAGGAAGTGGATCTGTTGTCATGTAATTTTACTTAACTAGGAAATCCTTGAATAAATGTCATTCCTCACGGTGGGTTTTGCCAACTTTTTTTTTTTTGGTGCAATCCTGAATTTATAGCAAGGGTTCCTTATTCCCGATGTTATATAAAAAAAGTTATGACTTTCTCATTGGCCTTTAAAAGGTTTTGGTCTTAATGCTCTCCGTGATGTTAAAGTAGCTTTTAGATGAGGCCGATGTTACGACTCCCCTGAGAGGGTGGATTAGGCTTCTCTACACTCCTCAGTACAAAGAAAAGGGGCGATTTGACGATGATTAGGTTTATTTGGTCAGTGGAGATGGCCAGCCCAGATAAATCAGGCTCCACGGTAGCTTTCTGACCTAACTCAGAAGAATGTGTTTTA